GCTACGGGAGACAGAAATGGGTAAGTGGTTAAACCAGTGTTAGACACAGGCTTACCCATGTTGGGAGATGATCTTCAATATATTTTTTTGAAAAACCTTTTAAACCATAGCAATAATACTCATAAGAATACATCTTGCATGATCAAGGCGGGTAGATGTTGGAGTCAGCTAGCTGAACTGTAATATTCGAAAATCTGATTAAAAGATCGTTATTTGCTATTTGCTCTGGTTGTAGCGGAAAACGAGCCAGATTAACAACTTATGGTTAAGATTTAAAGGCAGAACTTCCAATGAGAATTTAGCTCCCTGGAAATAAGGGTAGAGGTGGTCAGTGAAGCAGGGGATGGCATTGAACCATTTTTTTGAAAGGCAAAACCGTGAAATGGGACCCTTCTGCTCGATTTAGAGCGTATCCCGCCAGCTCCAGCAGCCAGAAGGAGCCAATGACTATATCGCCGACTGTCAAATTTCGCTGCCAACTGCGTGTGGATACCCTCGGGAAGTTTGCTGTCCCTCAATATGCAATTTCCCTTCTTTTGACCTTCTTCTTATCGTGAATTCTCTTTTTCAATGACTATGCGCTGTAGAACTGATTTACTTGTCTCTAGGCGCTTAAGGTGATATTTACGATAAAGTACGTCTGTGTGGTGTGCTGCAGGGGAAGAAATGCCGGTGTAGCGAGTAGCAGGGGCCAAAGGATTCAGTATAGCGTTTTGTGGCAACGGTGCTGATTGCAACGCTTATGGGGCTGACCATCTTTTGCTATGCTCACGCTCAGCCTATACCGGCACTTAGCAACATCATTTATTTTGATTTTACATATTTGATAAGGATTCACTTCGAAAGCGTATCCTATAATTTTCCATGGATGATTATCAAACAAGCATGGTCTATGTACGTGGCATAGTTGATTGCTTATCGGTTTACACACATGGAAGACGCCTTAGTAGTTGCTTGCTCGTCCCTTATCTGTGGTCAACGGCCAGAGAAAGCGGTCCCTATTTTGCGCGACTGTGACGGATTTCTTTGCTTTTTTCGCCACTGGCCACATTACTCACCATCTCCACATTCGCCGTAAACTGAATCCAATCCGATCGTAACCCCTCGCTTTAAGTTGCTGACAAAAGCTTCAACAGTGAATCTCTCACTTTGCAATGAAAGAATAGGAAAGTACCCGGAAAACCTTATTTCTCATATTGAGACTTTTTCAAGAAGTTCATCCACTTTCACAGTTGTTCAATGATATGGGTACGGTAGTAATCAAATTACGGGTAATTTTCGTTGATACTGTTGTTTTAAACCATACAATCTGAGAAAAATGCAGTCCGAGTTTTTTTTGAACCTGTCCATTTTGAACCTAGTATACGTTGGTGGAATTTTGCATTCTCCCTTCAACATCACTTGGTTTCGGCGCTTCTTTGCGCCGCAGTTTGAGGATGTAGATGATAAGCTTTACCTGAGAAAACCATTCATTTAATGAAACTCACGTTTCACACCAGAGCACCAAGTTTATAGTGCGCAATTCAGGTCGCACCCACCTTTTTTCCGGAAAGGACGTCGAAAATTAGGGGGGCCGGAGAGGAGAAGGAGGAATTTCTTCCGGAACACCCAGTCCTACAAAAAAAATTCATGCGAGACTTTTCAATTCTTTGAACGGTGGCCATTATAGGCCAAAGCTTTTAGCCAATATGGGTAGCTTTAAGGCCGATGTCATAGTTTGCGAATCGAGCGATTCGCTAGCGAATCGCTCGATCCGAGCGTTGCGCCAGCGAATCGAACGTTGCACCAGCGAATCGAACTTTGCGCCAGCGAGTCGAACGATGTACCAGCGAGTCGAACTAGGTACCAGCGACTCAATAGTGGGGGGACCCAACGTTTAAAGGAAAAGCCCGCACTTTCAAACAGTGTCACGTGACAGTGGACGCTGTTTGAAAGTGGCGGGACTTTGCAGTGGACACTGTTTGAAAGTGGCGGGCTTCCTTTAAACGTTGGGTCCCGCCACTATTGAGTCGCTGGTACCTAGTTCGATTCGCTGGCGCAACGTTCGATTCGCTGGACGCAACGCTCGGATCTAGCGATTCGCTAGCGAATCGCTCGATTCGCAAACTATGACATCCGTTACTAGCCTCAGGTCGCCTGTGAGCAGAAGTAATGAAACACCATACGTACGCTGGCATGGGATAAAGAGGACGGTCGACACCTGCTCATACGGGTGCGCATGGTTTGCATTGGAAGAAAAGGGGGTACCAAGATGTACCAACGTGGAGGAGGAACTCATTTCAAGAGCGGATTTATATATGTACTTATATGTATAGGATTTCGTCTGTCTCTCTTTTTTGTAACATTTTCAGGTATAAATATAATCTGGCGCGGTATAAATAATTAGGAAAAAGTAGAGTCTTGGGAGTAGTCAGTTTTTGGTCCGTCTCCGAGGTGTTGAATTTCCCGCTGACGTGGAACAGTGTATGTCTCCCTAACCTGACACAGTTTAACCATGGTGAAAAATATGAACCATCTCCTTCGCATGCGCAGATAATAGAAATTTTATTATTATTCTTTGAAACTAACCTTTTGACAAGTGGTTCTTCTGTGTTCTGAGCTAAAACTGGCAGCTTCGTTTATTCTTTAGGTCCTGTCATGGGGATACCAACCAGAAGCAACCCTTCTCTGTAAGAATGGAAGGTATATAAATTTCAACAAATATTCAATTAAAGAAGATCACACGATAATTCAAATTCGTATTTAAGGTGGTGACGACATGAGAAAATCTTGCCGCGTTAGGTGGAAAAGGGCGCGGGCTGGCGCGCCCGTTGTGAAGCGAAGACGAAGTAGCGTGGGAGCTATCCAGTTATGAGCACAGTATGAATTGTCACTATGGGATGCTGTCAGATTCTCAACGATACGCGAGCACGACGTTGGCAACATACTTCGCAGTTGATACTTTTTGCCTGAAATATCTGTGTCCCAAATGGACGGAAAAGACTGAGAGTGGACCCTAAAAACTACAGATAGCCACTTTGCTGCACGAGCAACCGCATCCAGCGACTATCCTGAAGACCGCATGACCACTCATACTCACGAACAGTTTAGGACTAGTACGCCTGAACTGGAGACGACGGATGATGGCGAGGAGACTTCTTCTCCTGATAGCGAAGGATACGACAGGACCACCACTGCTGCACGAGCAACTGCATCCAGCGACTATCCTGAAGACCGCATGACCACTCATACTCACGAACAGTTTAGGACTAGTACGCCTGAACTGGAGACGACGGATGATGGCGAGGAGACTTCTTCTCCTGATAGCGAAGGATACGACAGGACCACCACTGCTGCACGAGCAACTGCATCCAGCGACTATCCTGAAGAGCGCATGACCTCGCATACTCACGAACAGTTTAGGACTAGTACGCCTGAACTGGAGACGACGGATGATGGCGAGAAGACTTCTCTCCTGATGGCGAAGGATACGACAGGACCACCACTGCTACACGAGCAACTGCATCCAGCGACTATCCTGAAGAGCGCATGACTCTCGCAATACTCACAAACAGTTAATTGGATAGATACGCCTGAACTTGGAGACGGACGAGATGATGGCAAGGAGATTGTTCTCCCGATGGTGTAAGGAATACGAGGAGGAACCACAGCTGCTGCCACGAGAACTGAATTCCGCCAACATCGACCGCATGACTTTGCATACTCACGAACAGTTTAGGACTAGTACGCCTGAACTGGAGACGACGGATGATGGCGAGGAGACTTCTTCTCCTGATAGCGAAGGATACGACAGGACCACCACTGCTGCACGAGCAACTGCATCCAGCGACTATCCTGAAGACCGCATGACTTCGCATACTCACGAACAGTTTAGGACTAGTACGCCTGAACTGGAGACGACGGATGATGGCGAGGAGACTCTTCTCCTGATGGCGAAGGATACGACAGGACCACCACTGCTGCACGAGCAACTGCATCCAGCGACTATCCTGAAGACCGCATGACCACTCATACTCACGAACAGTTTAGGACTAGTACGCCTGAACTGGAGACGACGGATGATGGCGAGGAGACTTCTTCTCCTGATAGCGAAGGATACGACAGGACCACCACTGCTGCACGAGCAACTGCATCCAGCGACTATCCTGAAGAGCGCATGACCTGGCCTACTCACGAACATTTGGACTAGTACGCCTGAACTGGAGACGACGGATGATGGCGAGGAGACTCTTCTCCTGATAGCGAAGGATACGACAGGACCACCACTGCTGCACGAGCAACTGCATCCAGCGACTATCCTGAAGACCGCATGACCTCTCATACTCACGAACAGTTTAGGACTAGTACGCCTGAACTGGAGACGACGGATGATGGCGAGGAGGACTTCTTCTCTCTGATAGCGAAGGATACGACAGGACCACCACTGCTGCACGAGCAACTGCATCCAGCGACTATCCTGAAGACCGCATGACCACTCATACTCACGAACAGTTTAGGAGTAGTACGCCTGAACTGGAGACGAACGGATGATGGCGAGGAGACTTCTTCTCCTGATAGCGCGAAGGATACGACAGGACCACCACTGCTGCACGAGCAACTGCATCCAGCGACTATCCTGAAGACCGCATGACCACTCATACTCACGAACAGTTTAGGACTAGTACGCCTGAACTGGAGACGACGGATGATGGCGAGGAGACTTCTTCTCCTGATAGCGAAGGATACGACAGGACCACCACTGCTGCACGAGCAACTGCATCCAGCGACTATCCTGAAGAGCGCATGACCTTCGCATACTCACGAACAGTTTAGGACTAGTACGCCTGAACTGGAGACGACGGATGATGGCGAGGAGACTTCTTCTCCTGATGGCGAAGGAATACGACAGGACCACTACTGCTGCACGAGCAACCGCATCCAGCGACTATCCTGAAGAGCGCATAACCTCTGGCCTACTCCCGAACAATTTGTGACTAGTACGCCTGAACTGGAGACGACGGATGATGGCGAGAAGACTTCTCCTGATGGCGAAGAATACGACAGGACCACTACTGCTGCACGAGCAACCACATCCAGCGACTATCCTGAACGAGCGCATAACCTCGCCTACTCCCGAACAATTTGTGACTAGTACGCCTGAACTGGAGACGACGGATGATGGCGAGAAGACTTCTCCTGATGGCGAAGAATACGACAGGACCACTACTGCTGCACGAGCAACCGCATCCAGCGACTATCCTGAAGAGCGCATAACCTGGCCTACTCCCGAACAATTTGTGACTAGTACGCCTGAACTGGAGACGACGGATGATGGCGAGAAGACTTCTCCTGATGGCGAAGAATACGACAGGACCACTACTGCTGCACGAGCAACCGCATCCAGCGACTATCCTGAAGAGCGCATAACCTCGCCTACTCCCGAACAATTTGTGACTAGTACGCCTGAACTGGAGACGACGGATGATGGCGAGAAGACTTCTCCTGATGGCGAAGAATACGACAGGACCACTACTGCTGCACGAGCAACCGCATCCAGCGACTATCCTGAAGAGCGCATAACCTGGCCTACTCCCGAACAATTTGTGACTAGTACGCCTGAACTGGAGACGACGGATGATGGCGAGAAGACTTCTCCTGATGGCGAAGAATACGACAGGACCACTACTGCTGCACGAGCAACCGCATCCAGCGACTATCCTGAAGAGCGCATAACCTGGCCTACTCCCGAACAATTTGTGACTAGTACGCCTGAACTGGAGACGACGGATGATGGCGAGAAGACTTCTCCTGATGGCGAAGAATACGACAGGACCACTACTGCTGCACGAGCAACCACATCCAGCGACTATCCTGAACGAGCGCATAACCTCGCCTACTCCCGAACAATTTGTGACTAGTACGCCTGAACTGGAGACGACGGATGATGGCGAGAAGACTTCTCCTGATGGCGAAGAATACGACAGGACCACTACTGCTGCACGAGCAACCACATCCAGCGACTATCCTGACGAGCGCATAACCTCGCCTACTCCCGAACAATTTGTGACTAGTACGCCTGAACTGGAGACGGATATATAAAACGGATGATGGCGAGAAGACTTCTCCTGATGGCGAAGAATACGACAGGACCACTACTGCTGCACGAGCAACCACATCCAGCGACTATCCTGAAGAGCGCATAACCTGGCCTACTCCCGAACAATTTGTGACTAGTACGCCTGAACTGGAGACGACGGATGATGGCGAGAAGACTTCTCCTGATGGCGAAGAATACGACAGGACCCCTACTGCTGCACGAGCAACCACATCCAGCGACTATCCTGACGAGCGCATAACCTCGTCTACTCCCGAACAATTTGTGACTAGTGAGTAGAAATGGAGACCGACGGATTGATTGGGCGTTTAGAGACTTCTCCTGATGGCGAAGAATACGACAGGACCACTACTGCTGCACGAGCAACCACATCCAGCGACTATCCTGAAGAGCGCATAACCTCGCCTACTCCCGAACAATTTGTGACTAGTACGCCTGAACTGGAGACGACGGATGATGGCGAGAAGACTTCTCCTGATGGCGAAGAATACGACAGGACTACTGCTGCACGAGCAACCACATCCAGCGACTATCCTGACGAGCGCATAACCTCGTCTACTTCCCGAACAGAGTTTCGGCTGGACTAGTACGCCTGAACTGGAGACGACGGATGATGGCGTGGAGACTTCTCCTGATGGCGAAGAATACGACAGGACCACTACTGCTGCACGAGCAACCACATCCAGCGACTATCCTGAAGAGCGCATAACCTCGCCTACTCCCGAACAATTTGTGACTAGTACGCCTGAACTGGAGACGACGGATGATGGCGAGAAGACTTCTCCTGATGGCGAAGAATACGACAGGACCACTACTGCTGCACGAGCAACCACATCCAGCGACTATCCTGACGAGAGCGCATAACCTCGCCTACTCCCGAACATTTGTGACTAGTACGCCTGAACTGGAGACGACGGATGATGGCGAGGAGACTTCTCCTGATGGCGAAGAATACGACAGGACCACTACTGCTGCACGAGAGACTACGCACACGCACACCATCATTCATAATTATACACACAATTCCGAACATCACGATATCACGACCAGTACCGCGGCCACGGCGACTGCAGCAAGTAATGACGCATTCACATGGCATCCTTTTTCTGAAAAAGGGCGCGATGTTACGTTCAGTGTCGCTGAAGAAGCAACGGCAGATGGCTCTTCAAGGGGATTATCCACAGCCGTTCCAGAACGTTATGTCACAGCTAAGGTTTTCGAAGCCTTTACCAGCCGCCACATCGATTTTGCTAGTCGGGAAACAGTAGCCGCGAGATCAAGTGCAGAACCTTTGGGTACGACGACTATCCTTAACAACGCCGATGGCGAGAAGAGGAACACGAGGTAGCACCTGATGATTCGGAATGGTGGCTGCACAGGTGGCTCCACAGTATCAATTTACTTGATTTACTGCGACTATAGCTGCATCATTGATCTGTGATAGCAAATTGGAGTTGAATAAAACTTTTTTTTGATCTGATTGCATGGAATCGAAATCGTTAGCAAGAAAAATAAAATTGTTCTTTTTTATTTTGAAGGAGCTTTCCACGATAAAGTCAAAGGTCAGGAAATGGAAAGTGACCTAGCGGAGAGGCAGGTGGACCTTCTTAAGAGTGCGGGAGCGACACGTGATTCCCAGGCAGCGGTATGCCGTTGTGCGTAGCGTAACCCTCAACCGCCGGTCCGTACGGGCGAGGACGCCATCGACTGGTGACACCGCCGCGGGGTCTAGCCTGATTAAGCGGCAAGAGAGCGTTAGCATTGAAGAGGGTAGCACCTGTGAGAGTCACATCATTGCGGAAATTAGCTGGCAGGAATGAGTTTCCATTTCTCGGCGTAAAGTACGCCTTTGATGGAAATGTAGGTTTCACGTATATCCATCCATAGGCAGATTCGAGAAGGCCTATACGAAGTTCATCGACGACGGTTATAGGGGTTTAACTAAGGATAAAGGATAAAGGATAAAGCATTTGCCGTTGATCAATCCCTTTTTGGGATGCGGCACGCATTCTACTTCCATTTGTACATTCGCAGTGGCGTTTGAATGCGATGTGGCCTATACAATGACTTGCGGGGGCCAGCCGATGTACAAGTCAGTGTTTTTATCCTCCCAGACAAGTCTGGTACCAATTAACCGACCCCGGAGGGATGGAAGGCTTGGTTGGCCCGGGCGACTCACGACCCAGGATTTGATCCCGGACCGCTCGCGTGGTGAGCGCGCCACTTGTCACTACACCACTTCCGCCCCTACACTATATGAAAAAATTAAATCCTGCGGGATTCAAAGAGCTGATCAACGCAGAAATATGATGGCGCGTTACTTTCTTGCATTCGTTGAGGCTAAATAGTGCATTTTTCGGAGCTGCACAGCGGCACGGCACCGACTTAAGCCGTTTTAGACAGAGCGAGCACCCGAAGTAAAGCGTGAATTATAATGTTCTGCTGTAGTCACGTACAATGCGCGACGCATTGACGCGCTGAAGTGCGTGCTCGCCTCCCACTATTCGTTTTCTCTGCGCTCTCTCAAAGGAGAGAGAATATGTCGAGCCAACCCGCCAACAATACTGAGCGCCGATCATGTAGGAGGTGGAGCGCGCGGCGCGCGCCCGCAGCCGCCGCCGCGGGCCCGCCGCTGGGCGAGGCACGCACGCCGAGTGGGCCTCGCGTGCCAAGTCCAGCGCGGCACCGGGTAACCTCCCCTAGCCTGCGCGCGAAGCGTGCGCAGCGTTTCGCCTTGCCGCGCATCGCGGCGAGGCGAAACGAACGCTGTGACGTTCATCCATTTATGGATTGTGACCAGCAGGTGGAGCTCAGCGGCCATAATAATGGGTATGGTCATGCGGAAATCCGTTTCGATGCCGACGCGAATTGTATACACTGGCGGCAGGACCATAGCGTAAATTTACGTTCACTTCCGGAGTGCTCCTCTGTCTAAAGGTTATCTCCGAGCCAGCAAGGTCTTCACGACTCACGATGAAAATTAGGCACTTTGTATACTGCGATCTTTACACAAGCAAATGTACAGAGAACCTACCGCCAGTCGTAACGTGCAGTGATGCGACGTGGATATCCTCCTAGATTTTCCCCTCGTCGTTTATCCCACTCTTGAGAAAGTTCGCATAAATCCATTTGCCATTGCCTTCCTTATCATTGATGTGATAGCTAATGGCTAATTGGGAAAGAATGATTAGAGCCTGCTAAACAGTTCCTAACACGAAAAAATCATGTCGTAATTGATAGCTTCCATTTATAGTCGGTGTCCGGTCGGTTTGATTGCATTGGCTGAGTTTCGGCGTCATGTTCGTGCACAGAGATTTATCTGATTCTACGATAGTCGTGTAATGGCAGCGGAGATCCACGCGCCGAGGGGCGGGAGGCTAAAAAAAAAAAGCAGAACCGCTGCGTAGGGACATGGAGCTAAGGCTCGGAGGGTAGAATATGCACGGAGGAACAAAAGAAAATGCTTTACTAATCCTCTTCAGAGTCGCCTCCTCTTTCTTAAGCTCAGCCCTATAGCGTCTGCTGAATTCGCTTCAATCCGTTTGACTCTCATCCCCTAAAGAGATGTGGCGCCAACAAGGCTCATGCTTCATTTTGTCACAAGTCACTTCATGCGTAATCATACAATGCCAGAAGTGGGACCGCCTTTTCGCTGAAGCGCCTTACCCTTTCATTGACTTTCTGTAGATTGCAACCTGCAGCTTTCCACAGCCTTTTGATACTCAACTCCCAAATTACGACTACCCACCCCGTTATGCGTGACGATTCAATCTGGCAGTAATTAGGTCGGCACGCTGCCGCCGCAGCCAGAGCAGCGATATCGTGACGCGAATTTGCAAAGAACTCAGCGTCCAAACATTGGGGAATGTAGATTAGACGTTGTTTCCCTTCATGAAACATGGAATAGGAACCACCCTTACCTTTAAAATGCAGTTTCGTTTTCGCTCGCCATTACATACTTATCATATCATGCTTATGTTAGAGCCTTCCTCGCCGCTACTCTGTGTCTTGATACGCAATATTCTTTCCGATTGAACCAGATTATCACTCTCTGATAGAAATTCAGGAAACTGATTAATAAAGAAGTCAAATTAAATCCAAAAGGACAACCTTTACACGGTACAAAGTTTGTACTGCGAGGCTTAAATCACTGCAGGGATCTTACAGTGACGCTTGCTGGCTTACTGATGTCCAGCACTCTGGTCTTATCAGTCACCTAGCCAACTTATGGACATGGATGGCTAAGAAAAGGTCCACACAGAAATCGCCGCACAACTGCCGCGCGCGACGATTCTCGCCGCGTGAGCGGCGTGACCTCATTAGCCGACGATTGAATAGTCCGTCTCTACCAGGGTCAACCCTGCGTTGCGCAAAGAACAACGAGGGGGTCGTATTCAGCCGACCGAAAAGGGAGGGGGTCGTATCCACAGACGGGCTGCAAGACGGCTTGAAAAGTGCAGTGTCCGGGAGTGCACTTTCAGCCTCTAATGTTCTCCAGGAGCTCTGCACGCTGTCGGAGAGTCACACAGACATGAGCTCCATGGGAGCATTAAAGCATGCAGAGCACTATAAGTCTCACCATCAGCTTATTATCCTTAAGCGACGCTATCCGGACGGCGCTTTTGCTCCGCGGCATAGATCAAGAGTACAATAGACAATAGGCAAAACTTTGTTACAGTGTAAATGCAAAATACTAACACCTTCTTCAGGAAAACAGAAGACTTCAAAATGCGAGTGCGAACTCTGCCCACAGATAGGTGCACGGCGTATACCCGAGGCGTTTTCCCGTAAAAACGCCTCCTC